GAGCAGGATATACCATTAGGCGTTCAAAGCTGGGCCTGGACCTTAGGCTCTGAGCAGGTCCTACTTGAGCTAGCAGAGAAATCAGAAGGTCTCCTTGCACGGCCCTGCCCCTTCTCACTTTGTTGAGGGAGCTTTGTGGTCTGTATCAATATTAGGTACAAACCGCTTTAAGAGCTCCCTCAAGGTCTCCCCGGTGCTTCTCAATGACTCAGAGCAGCCACACTCAGCCTTCTGAGTCATCGACTGAGTGCCAGAACCGAGGGCACACTTAAAGTGGTCTGTAAACAATATTGGTACAGTTGATGAAGCTCCACCAGGACTCAAGCTCATCCTCCACCAGACTACCAGGAAAGGTAAGCAGGAAGGGGGGGACATACACAACAATCAGTTATGCTCGGACTCCCTTACACACTTACAAAATTCAGTCACAACACAATGCAGACACACTCAGCACCCCCAAAGAGCCACCCATAGAGCACAACACTTACTCAACACACACACCAAACACAGAAACAGATACCAGGGCTCTAGGAGGGTGCCTCAATCTGAAGGTGTGCAAAGCGTGTAAGGAGGGCTTTATTTGTGCCAGTTAGTCTTGTTGCTGCAGGTGAATAAGTATGAAATTTTGCCATACTAGGAGAGTTTGGGGAGTTCACCAGAGGTAGGAAAGATCTGCTACTTGTTGGCTTGCATAACAACCTAGAAGGATTTTCAACTGAAATTAAGATTGGAGTTTTTTCGCTTATCACATAAAAAGGACATCACATAGAACATGAACATGGTGCTTTGGCAGATTTGGCAAAACAGTAAATTAAGTTCATAATCAACGACTTATCCATACTGTAAGACAATAAAGTGTCAAATAATTGCCTGCTGTATTGGGGGAATTCCATGTAACAAGGTCCTCAGAGATACCTCTAATCTTGAGGTTTCTGTGTCTGAAAGTGTCCTTCATTATATCCATTGTGAGTAACAAAGAGTGTTGCTGGTTTTGCAATGAAATAAGTGTTTTGTCTCAGTGGGCCTGCTTTATTCCTGGTTTAACAGATGTGATGCATGCTGTTCTATGGCCTTATGCAACCCAGGAGGGTGTACACCTGCACTGACTACTGCCAAGTTCAGCAGAGAAATGTTGTCTAATGTTCATTAAAGGTCCTGAGTGTCCCATTGAGTAATTTGAGCTTTTTGAGCTTCATCTCCTAGGCCAAAAGTAAAGCCTACATGAAAACTCATCAAGAACATCCAAATTAAGGTCCTCCAAGGCATGTGAGGTTAGATCAGGCCACTATCTTGGGGTAGCATATCTCCAATATCTCAGGATCCTCCAAATGTGGAGGACTTCATTTTTTTTTTTAATTCTTCCTGACCATCATGTGCTCCAGAATATCAGGTGTGACTTAGGCAAATAGAAAAAAGATTACCTCAAATTATGAATAAAAATCATGAGTAACCACTGTGATAAACTTTAAAATAATTTGCTACATGATTACAATTTTATCTGTTCAATGCACATTGCTTTTGCATCATTCCGGCAAATGTACAGCTAAAAAGTTATTTTCATTTTATTGTTTTATTACTTTCTTATCCTTTTTTGTTATGTCATCATCATACTGAAAAGCAGGCTAAAATGCATTTCAGCCAACTAGTCGGGGAGGTTTAACAATTTTCATCTATAGACATGACCATTTCTTCTGATATCATCACATTTATAAAATGAAAAAAGAATACACTCTTCACAAATAAAGCACTTCAGCAAGCTGTCAAAAGCACTAATGGATCTTAATGGTTGCTTTTGACATTATTTGAGTTTTTCTATTCTGATGGAGGGAAGAGCTCTCTAAAGCTGAAATACCTATCCCATAAACCACTGGTAAATGTTCACTCCGGAAAATAAAAGGTATCAACAGCTTCCTACTTGGGAAAAGGGTATTGTAAAAGCTGTAAATCCTTGGAGATTTGCAGCCTCAGAAATTTTATAGGGATCTCTATTTTTTAATATATACATGTTATTAAAAAGGGAAGGGGAGGGGGCAAATGCAGCCTGTGGTGTCTTTTGACATGTTTTTTAGTTATTAAATCTCCAATTAAATTAATACATTACTTCACACTCTAAAGGTAGTATCACACGTCTTTATAAAACCTCATGTAAACATCAAACTATACTTTATTTAAATTATAGCCTATACGAGCCTTATAATGTTTTCTCCAAAGCCACACACCCATCTTCGCAATCAATCTTCGGTGTATCTGTGACCTTTCCATATGCCAGAGTGGGTACAAATAAAAGCATTAGAAAGCCATGTCTAGCAGTCTGCATCTCTGACTCAATCATCAAGCTGTCCTAATGACGTGCACTCAGTGACAGCCAGTCCGGGTCTCTCCTTGTTTGCTGCTGTTCAGCTCACTGCTTATTGGAACATTTATTTACTGTTTGACTGATACAAGTTATCTGCCGTTACCTCCTGCTGCACGGAGCAACCAATTCTGTTACGCTGCACAGGAAGCGACTGAAAGGAAAACACAGACACCTGTAGAGGTAAGTGTTATTTCTATTAATTTCGAATCTTGTGGCTTCTGTAGACTTTCACTGTCCTTCCATGTAACCTATGACTATATATTCTCAATAGTTTTGCCGGTTTGATGGATATGAGGAAATGGTTTTCTTAATCTGGTATTTGAACTCTGTATTTTGTCCAGTACACGCTCCCTGTTGGTACGAGCTGTGCACGCCATGTCTGGCATTAGACGTTTACCACATTGTGTACACCTGCAGGATCCCATCAGTTGGTATATAACTACAACCTGTGCCGTGTATGTATAAAACACAGATATCAGTCAGTGTAGTATGGTCATGTTAAGGAAAACTACAAAAAAAATAATCACATTTCCAAAGTATACTTTATATTTGTAAGCTTCTAGATAGTTAAGGAGACCTTTTTGTAATTATTACTTTATCTGCCTGAATATATTTTTTTTCCTTGTTGCTACCTACTTTACACAAGTAATAGGGATGGAAGTGTATGTCTGATGCTTTGGGGGTTTTTTTTTTTCTTCTGGGGGAATGTTTAGAGAGACACTGCATTTTTTCTTCTTTAAGAAACCCTCCCTTCCTTTTTTTATTATAATGTATTTTATTTGAAAATTTCTCTGGAAATCCTCTTTGGTCCATACATTTAATTTAATATCACTGCTATTGCACAAGCCGCAGGCCTCCCGTAATTAGTCACATCCACAGGATATGTTTATGCTATTGAAGTTATTATAATAGAGTGCAGGGCACATGCTGCAATATCGGTTCCTTGGATACAGTGACATAGATACCATTATAATCAACGTAAATTACTGCATAAGGTTACAATTTGTCCATAAATCCTCCATCTGGAGATGTTATCAAGTCTATATCCTTTTCATACTCGGTCAATATCATGGATGTACAGACCCTTGCACTACACACTTTGCAGGCCCTATATTGTGTCAGGGTTATTTACGAATGCCCATAAATAACGCAAATTTGGTAAGAAATCTTGCATTTTTCCCAGGAATGCAATTAGGATATTTATTGAATGCAATCCATGTCCGCATACAGATTAAAGAGAAGTGTTGCTGGTTAAATTGTTACATTTAAATTTTTTAAGGCTAAAATAACTGAACTGGAAAAAATTATCCAAGTCAACTGTTATGGCGTGCAGGACGGTATAGCACGACATAACGTTTAGTCTTCCAGTCTTCCTCCCTTTTCAATTTATACATGTGTAATTTTACTCTAAGTATTTTTATATTAATATATGTATATCTTAATAAAAAATTACACGTAGTATGACGTTACACACATATATATATATATATATATATATATATATATATATATATTTTTTTTTTTATTCATTACATTTTTTTTTTGTCAGTTCAGGCAGTCCCCCTGCTGGCAGCACTATGGTCACATGGCCCCTGCGGGTCCTAAATTGGAGAGGAGGGACTCTCTGGGCTCAGCCCAGAGTCCCCCCTATGAAGACGACCGATTGCCGGTGGGGGAACAGCGGCGATCGGTAAGTTCATGGAGAGGGAGGGTAGGGGTTAATTTAAAAAAAAAATGCATTTTTTATTTGTTATTTTATTTTTTTACTATTTACTGAGTGCCTTGATCCCTCAAGGCACTCAGTACAGGCAGAGCATCGGAAGCATCTCACTGCCGGACTCCATGTGGAGCAACCCGGAAGTGATCGCTCCGGTGGGGGAGCTTCCAGAGCTCTAATTACTCCAGGACGTATCAGGTAGGTCCGCAGTCCTTAAGGACCATTAGAGCTGCTGGAAGCGATCATGATCGCTTCCAGAGCTCTAATTACCCCAGGACGTATCAGGTAGGTCCGCGGTCCTTAAGGACCATTTTTTGTCGGACATACCTGATACGTCCATGGTCTTTAAGGGGTTAAAGTACAATTTACAGAGCAGGAGATGAAACTTTTTAAAGTAAGTTAACGTGATTGAATCAGAAACATAAGTGATTTAACTCTTAAGTGGCAGAGAATTGAACAGTGAGACTGTGGGGGCATGGACTATATCTGCAAACTGATTCATTAAGCTGAATTTGTTTTAGTGCCTGGAGTGTCCCTTTAAATGGCCAATTAGCATCAGTGTCTCCATGCAGAGGGTGAAGGCACTGAATGGCACTACTGCCCAAGGAAGTACTTCTAGCAGCCATCTGAGGAGTGGGCGGTTGAGTTATCACTAATATAACCAGAAAAAAAACACTCCACAAATGGGGAAAAAAAGGTAATGAAAAATAGCACATTTATTGAAAAAAGTAATAGAAATAAACACACATTGCATTACACTGTAACAGCAGTCCTTGTGTAAGCTAAGGTAGTTGCAATATCATATGTACAAAATAGTATCAAGTGTGTAAAATAACACAGTATCCAAAGGAAAATAAAAGTATAAATACAGAGTAAATGAGCTTCCTGCGGCTACTGTTCAGGGGAGAGAACACCTAAGAAGACCACCTAGAAAACGGTAAATGACACCCTGGACACATTTCAGACCCCACCTTGTTCTTTCACACTGGCTGGGAGGAAGTGACAGTCTGTTCCTTCTTCCCATGTTTGTGCAGGGAGACAGTGTGGAAGGGAGAGGAGGCAGCTGCAGCATGAGGGGAGAGGAACACTCCAGGAGCTGCTCCAGACCCCTCACTTCCACCAGCCAGCAGAACCAGGACTCAAAGTCACCCTCCTGGACACATAAGGCAAGCTAACAGGAGGGTGGCTGGAGATATAAAAAAATATCACTTAAGTGGGTGTGTGTCAGTGTGTGTATCTTTGTAAGTGGGTGTGCATCTGTGTGTGTGTGTGTCAGATTGTGTATATGTGTCAGTGTGTGTGTCTGTGTGTGCGCACACATCTGTACTTATTATAACATCCATAACGCGTTACGCCAATGTGGCCATTTCAAATTCCATTTGAAAAATCCACATTGGCAAAACGCATTATGGATGTTATTTTGTATTTTGGTCACTATACTATTGGATTGTACCATTACCTTTTTTTTTAATACCTCCTGGCATTTTATCATCTCTACTCTCAAAAAATCCGAGGTGGGGACCATACCACCAACACTATCATCATAGAGCAGTAGTCTTCTCTATCCTTGTGAGTATAACTTTTTAAACAATTGTATTTGTTCTTATTTATCTTATTGAGCGCACAATTTGTTGCCTTTTTACTTTTTCCTGAGCACCGGGTAACCCTACTGCTGTGGACGTCCCTCAACATATCCTACAAGTGGGGATTATACCGCTGTATGCAGCATACATTATAGCTGGCTATAGCTCTTATGTGTGAATGTAATATCGCTACTGTGATTATACTTAATTATTGAGTGTTGACATATTGCATCATTAGTTCTTCATGTTTTTATCTCCTTTTTATATGGATACCTAAGAGATTGACTATTCTGCGTGCTGGATCAACTATAACCCTGACACAGGCACAGAAAACATATATTTTACAATATCCCGGAAGTACCCCCAAAACACATGGAAACCCCACAAAGGTCATATCCCCTAATAGCCCCAACTTCGGCAACAACATATCCAAAAATCACCCAGATCTCAGGAGTTTGGGATTTCCATGGAAGACTTAATTTGGACTTGTGGTCGGTAGTTTAAAAACCGAACAAACTACCGAACATATTAAAGAGTTTTACCCTGGAGCTTGTTCACCTTGTTCGTGGGAACGTTTCCACCGAACAGTGCCCTTCTAAGTTATGTAGAACCGAACGCAGGGGATTCTGGAAGTCCAGAGATGTTTGGGAGTTTCAGTGTCCGAAAACAGTTCCATGAACTCGACGACCAAACACCGCTGCCTATGTTCGCTGGTACAAGATGGCCGCCACCTCGTGGTCGTTCATGCGAACAGCGGCCACCCAGACGAACACTTAGAACACTGCAGTAGAAAGTGTTACAAACTGTCAATTAGGCTTAACAAGCTCTCGGGTGGTCTCTGGTTCGTGTGCCTATTTGGTTCCCGAACCAAATATAAAATCCCACGTACCAAGTCTGTTCACATAGTTTGTAACCCCTTAAGGACTGAGCCAAATGTACACATTTTGATCAAAATAAAATGTAAACAAAACTTGGAATTTGGCTATATGTCTGTTCAACCATAATTCACCTCTTTCATATTAAGTGCACCCACACTTAATATATATCATTTTAGTCAGGATAAATAGGACTTTCATTTAACATCAAATATTTAGCTATGAAACATAATTTAATATGAATAAAATATAAAACTATGTGAGAAATTAAGAACTTTTGTTATTTTTGTTTAGTTCTGCATGACATTTTAACAGTGACTGTCATAATACTGTTTGCTTTTACTGCAATAAAATACACATATTTGTACTGAGCGATGTCATGTGTAAAACAGTACCCCCTATGTACAGGTTTTATGGTGTTTTGGGAAGTTACAGGGTCAAATCTAGCATGTTACATTTTTCCATTTTTTTTTTTCACATTGAAATTTGCCAGATTGGTTACGTTGCCTTTGAGACCATATGGTAGCCCAGGAATGAGAATTACCCCCATGATGGCATACCAATTGCAATATCAAAAGAATAAAATAAGTGGAGCGCAAAATGGCAGAGAAAACTGCCTATAGATTTTATATAAGAGAAAAATATTTAAAATGTATACCTATACGTTGTAGTAGATTCTCAATAGCTTGCAAAGAGAAAATTACATAATAATTGTGCAGTATATCCAAATATGGATAAAGGTAAACAATTTAATAACAGTAAAAATACATAGAAAATGGCGAAATACTGCTTACAATGTGTAAGTTAGTGAGATTTATGCGGGCAAAGAAGCTCCGCTACTCACAAGCGTTTTATGTCAAATATCCAGACAGTTGCAATAGTCTTTAGATGAAATCCCAGAAGTCCTACCAGATGAAACGATAAGGTGAATCCGGAGGTGGTTCTGGCACAGTTCGTGTCCCTCAGCTGTGGTCCCAAGAGAGCCGATAAGCCGGGGAAGACTTTTGTCCGGTCGCGGGGTTTGTAGGTGCCGCCCACCTTAGTGACGTCAATGCGTGCTTACGTGGACGCGTTTCGCCTTCCAGCTTCCTCAGTACGTAAGTAGTATAGTCTCGACTAGCAGTAGGGGGAACATATATACGCAATAATGGTTCCACCCCCAAGTGTTACCACTAATTATAAATGCATAGTCCAATCTTTCAAAGGTAAACAGTCAATAGCTTTTTCATCTAGATACAATGATACATGAATATTTCAAACAATTTAAGAAAAATTATTTAGAAAAAGAAATTTAAAAAAATAATAACCATACATATTTTTTAAAATTTTCTTAAAGCAGGTAAGTCCCCTGGACGGCATAAACCGCCTGTCATCCTTAAGGGGTTAAAGAGCCCATAGTCTTTTGGCAGGAGGCTATGTGTATGTGATGGATACATTATGTGTAAGGGTGAGTATGTAAAGGAAACATGGTGTGTTTCTGTGTGTGTGTGTGTAGGATTTACTGTATGTAGGGGCAGGGTTCTTAGTTGGTCCCGGTATGTGGCCAGAGTCACAGGACTGAACCGCAGGTATCCCTTAATGCTTCTGGGCGACTGGGTTACTTTCTGGCTTGCGTGCTGACGTGGGTAGCATAATGACACGTTTTGCCATGACCCCGCCTCCCGAAGCATTAAGGGATACCTGCGGTTCAGTCCTGGGACTCTGGCCACATACCGGGACCAACTAAGAAACCTGCCCCGGCGAGAAAACAAGGAAGAGGGTTGATTCTGCCTTCTGCTGTGCATTTTAAAGGTTGTGTGCAATAAAGTTTGGTTTTGTACCCTACACCAGCCTCAAGTCTTCTGCCTACATCTCCGTTTGGGATTACTATTTGGAGCTGTTACAGTTAGAGCAGACTCATCTGCTCTACACTTGTGAGTGTGTATCTCATTTTTCATATTTTACTAATGTTTATACAATTTTATACTATATTTTCTCCTTCCCTTCCTCTCCCCTTTTTTATCTTGTACATGTATAAGGATATCGTTCTACCCCTTAAGAGTGGTCAGATGTTTACATTCTGAAAGCTGTGGTAATTTGAAATATTTTCTCTTTTTGGCACAGTGCATTTTCACTTGTGTTGCACTAAGATTTATAAAAAGTGATGTATAAAGCAGTATTGATTGTATTATAATCGCTGCACTATAGTTTTTGCATGAAATAAATATTGCATTTTATTGAATTTTAAGAATTTAGGTCAGGACTCACTCTTAAAAGGTGCTTGTTAAGAGTGGTTATGGTGCTGCGGTCTTCTGTTCCCTTTCCCCAACAGCTGAGCATAAGTGATTATAGCTGCAGCAGGAGTTAGAGAAATAAGGAAGATGAAATGCAGTTCCAAGGTGATTCTTCCCAGCAAATGGAATATCCCCCAAACATGAGCCTAGACTTCATGAAGGGTGTAACAGGAATGAATTTTATTGACACACACGGGCTTTTATGAGAAATCCTCATGCAAGAGGACCTCCCACAGCAAACAAAGACAATAACCAATCAACACACAGATTTACAGTAATACACGCCTTCTCTCTGCCTGGGAGATATTGAGATACGTTAAGGAATAAATCAATTATCTCCAGGCAGAGAGCACACAATTTCCCCAAAACTCAGAACACCCCTTTCCCCACCAGGTATCCCCACAAATTACATATCCCCTAATAGCCCCGATCTGGGGGACAAACATATGCAAATTTCACCCAGATCGGTTCAGGGTTTCTGAAAAAGTGGGGAGGGTTCCTTTTACCTACCACACACGCAGCTCCTGCCCAAAACAGTTCCATGAATTCAGCGTGTGTGGTCGGTCAATTCACAAATACACAAAAAACGAACAAAAGTCCCGAATGGATCCCCCTGGCTCATAGTAGCGATTGCTCCCCTTGTCCGTTCGCATAGAACTACCGAACGGCGCTCCCTGGCTGTTCGGGAAATACAAGAAGCCGGCGTTTGGTAGTTTCAGCGGTGGTTCGTGAGGTCGAGTGTCCGATTTTAGTTCCAGACACCTTATTTAGAGCCCTGTGATCCTTTACTCTAAGGTGGTTACACTGAGTGCCAATATCTGGGGTGACACTCCCCAAAACCATGATCTAGAGCTCAGGAGTGGACAGACTGCCAAATAGTGCTTAAAAAATCGTATTTATTCAAAATCCTAATAAAAACTATTTAAAAACGATGATTAAACTAATAAAGTGCATCTATCACAGTCCTCTTAAGTCCAGTGCCTCAATTCCAAAATGCGTCTTACTGGATGCAGCTTTCTCAGTTGGCAATTCAATAGTTCAGATCACACTGGACTATTTAAATGGTCACGTTAAATTCACTTCCGCGATCACATGCTCTGGTTCCTCCAATCAGTTACTTAATGGGCAATCTGTCCTTACTTGTCTCTGACCATTCACGTCCTCAATCGTTGCTGGAAATGACGTGCGCCATCTGGGGCTGCCAGAGATGATGTATACGTTTGCGCGCAGCAACCGGAAGTCATGTATCACTAATTGTGACACGTCACTTCCTGCTCCACATCGTACTATCGTCCGTGTGAATTATAAGTCCTTCCTCCATATTTCTCCCCTCACAGGGCATGACCATACGCCATATTTGTTTTGGGAAAACACAGAAGAGCGATGCAAGAGTCCATCTTGGAAGTAACATAGAGGGAGCACATCAACAGCAGCAGCAGCTCCCAGCCTCTGCAAATGTAAGTGTTTATCTTTTTCTCTCCCCCCAATATCACTCAATCACTCTACAGCTGAGACCTGTGACACTCATACTGTGGCTATTTGGAATATTGTGAAGCTTTAAACTGCAGGACTGGGTCTGTGACTCTGATGAGTGAGGAGCTCTTCTATGAATCTTGCACTGAGGCCCAGTGCTTCCTAGTTACCCTCTTTGGTAAGCATATTCATACACAAACATGTTCACTAAAAATTAAGCAATCTCACTCACACACACAAGCTCTCTTACACAAACACAAGTTCAAACATAAGTTCACTAATACACTGTCACGGGTGGCGGTACGGAGACCGGGACCCCTGAGTGCCTGATGATGATGGGAGTCTCAGTGTGGAAGCGGATTATCAGGGCCTGGTGCAGGGTAACCAAACACCCCCTAGTGTTGAGCACCAGCGTTTGTGCGGTCACACGCCAGGGCCCTGATGCAGCTACTGCGGATCCCAAGAGCTAGCAGCTTGATATGCAGACCTCCCAGGAACTGGATAGGGGGGCTCTGCAGCAGACATTTATCCAGTACAGAAACAAGGCAAGACTAGAACAGATACCAAACAAGACAAGACTAGAATAACCCAGAACCGGAGCAGGACAGAAAGCAGAACACGTACACAAGAAAGGGCAGGACAGGACTGTACATGAACTGGGAAAACAAGACAAAATAAAACAAGACCAGAGATGCAAGGCAAAACAAGAGGAGACATAACTAAGTACTATATATGTAAAACATTGGAGATTTAGACATACATAAATGACCAAGATGTATGCAGCCCACCACTGCGGCAAAGTACTCCAATTACGGTGGGTTCCTATCTGCCTAGATATGCATTACTAAATAAGCAATAATAAAACACACACAGCACTTACCTGCAAGAAAGAGGCAGAGGACTTGAAACAACTGCCTGCAGGAACCAACTGAAACAAAAGGATTAATGGAAAAGGAAAGGGTGTGGCAACATAAAACAAACATATAAAGGAATCCAGGAGACTGGGAATTCCAGTAACGGAATAAAGGAATGAACCAAGAAAATCAGACATAGAATAGAAAACCACAAAAAACAAGAAAACTAAACAAGAATTGTAAAAAGAGTACTGGATACCAGAAGCCAAGGCCAGACATCTCCACAGGACAGGATGTGACATACACACAGGTGTTCTATTTCTATAGTGACTTACTCAGACAGCACAAGTATTCATTCACCAACTATAGAAGTGGTTTGGTACTCCCTGCAATTAACCCCCACCCCCTCTTCTTCTTGATATAATCTATTATACTAGCCAGTGGCAGAAATGATATAGAGAGAACCACGGTGCTAGGTTTACCTGTCATGATACTTTACCTGCTACACATCTACCTTTTACCATTCTTGCAGGGTTATATATGGGTGTATGTTTGCAATTTGAGAGAGTGTGTGTGTGTGTGTGTGTATGTGTATATATATATATATATATATATATATATATATTGTATTTAATCAAAGCATCTCTATGAAGAGATGCTCTTTGCCAGGCCTGTATTTGGCTTATGCTGGCTCTGTCCCTGATCTGCTTCCTTTACATGTGCAGCCAATCCAGTGCTTTCCAATGGCTCAGATCATCAATTCTGATGATGTTAGACAAGCAGGCAGATCAGGTACAGGGCCTGCAGCAGACTGAACTAAAGGTAAGATTTTACTATATTTATGGGAGCAAGGAGGGACTGGGGGGCTAGGTGTTATTTTTAACTCTATTGGGTCAGGAATACACGTTTGCATTCCTTTAAGTTTATACCTCTCCTATGCAGGACATGCCATTTAATAACTTTCTGAATTTGGAAAATAGCTGAATCTTCCTTAATATTAACGAAATTGGAAACCTAGTTTAGGGACTGTTTCCTTAGAACTGGTGCCCAAAATGTCTGCTTAACAATGTAACAATAAAATATAAGGAATATATATGATTGGAATATTTAGTAACCAAAGAAGTATGAGTGGGGTGAGATTTGTTTAAATGATAACTGCTACATTTCTCATTGAAAAATCTGCTTTTTTTTTTTTTTCCTCCCATCACAAACATGGCAGTGATTGCTTCAGAAGAATAAGAAAACGAGAGGGGGAAAAAAAGCTCTCTAAATGAATGAGAGATTGAATGCAACGTGCATAGTAAATGCAATTAAAATGTGATCCTTAATGAAATATAACCGTGGTGAGTCTCCAATATGGTCTTCAAATCTCATTATAAAACAGCTAAAGGATACCATGGTTGTCATGATGGAGTACATGGTTGTGGGGGATGAATTTCACAAATATATTGCAGAATTTTTCTTGCTTGGTGTGTTTGGGTGTGGAGATCGGCAAATCTAAAGTCGAAAAATAAGGTTAAAAAAATGAAATAATAACATTTATTTTTCAGGATTTTTTGTGCAGTAGGTCATCTGCTTTACAACAGTTAAGGGGATACTTAAAACACCAGAAACACTTCTGTTTCCAGTAGTGGTCACTCGCATAGTTGCCAACATTTGAAAATCTTTCCATGGACATTTTGTGGGAAAGTAGAAACACCGATACACTCAAAGAGATATAAATTTAGTAGACTTGTTGTTTAATTTTGTTCTGAACTGTAGTTAGTCTGAATTTGGCCTGATCAAAGGTTAAATGTAGCAGGGTGCCGACACTAATTAAAAGCGCAATGGCCTAGCATGTTCATTTTGATTCTGAAGTCTGCCATTAGCACCAAAAAAGTTGCTAGATGTTTATTCACAGATCAAGTGAGAAGTGACCAATAAAGGGGGAGAAAAAAAAACTATAAATTGTAAATATAGACGTGTTTAATTTTATACTGCTTCTCTTCTTTTTCCTCTATTGGTTACTTTTTCACACTTGATCTTTGTACCAAATGGTCTGAAAATGCAATTATCAGTGTACTGCAAAATATATACACAATTATGTAATTTAATATATTTTTTTGCCTAATGCAAACCGATACACACTCAAAACAGACGTACAGAGAATTAAAAATGTTTTTGTCCTGGCAAATTCAGGACAGTTTGCATCTATGGGACTCTATCCAGGTGCTTTGCTAGGCTGGCTACACGGAATGGGACCCAAATGTGGACTTGTAGAGACCTGACTGTAAAACTTTTTAGTACAATTCTGGTAGTCCTGAAACCCTTGAAGACAACGATGGTGTTCTGTGGCTGGCCCATTTACATTTATTTGCTTCTTGTCCACATTGCAGAATCAGCTCAATGCATACTGCCTCCGCTCGGAGCAATGTGAGTGGTGTACTCACTTTAGTGAGATATTGTGTGTGTGTGTGTGTGTGTGTATATATATATATAAATATATTTACATACGTTATTATTTTATTATTAATATTGACATTTATATAGCGCCAACAAATTCTGTAACGCTTTACAATATTATAGGAGAGGATGTGGTGTATAAAACACAGTAGGACAGGAGATGGCAATCAAACAAGGTGGGAGTGAGGTAGAGTTGGAGGAGAGAGTAACTTGCTGCCCTTTGGGAGAGAGCAAGGGACAGGTATATGACGTAGAGGTTATTCTGGGAGGCCATAAGCTTTTTTTTTTTTTTAAGAGATGGGTTTTAAGGCACTTTTTATTTTGAATTTTTTTTTTTTATTCTTTTTTTTTCCGTCTTGACAGAGAAAAGCAACATATCAGCGTCATAAGACTTGTGCAAAAGCCGATCAATGTTAGTCACATATGTTTTAAGTTACATAAAAGAAATCTGAAGACATTTTAAATTTTACACAGGTAATTTACTTTTTCACCATCTGCCAAGGTTTAAAAAAATAAATAAAATTAATTAAACATTATTTATGACATGCTGATCAACGTATTTATGTCAGTTAATACATCGCATTGGTAATTCGCAGTACGAACCATCTGCGAAGTCGAACAATTTTTCAAATAAGTAACAATCGTGTTGAGAAAATAACACCGGTAGTTCCTCTATACCTTTCAGTTTATCTACGTGTCTGAACTGGGTGTGTTACTAGACCTCAGAGTGATATCTAATTGTACAATTATACTGTTATATTTTGTGAACTCTGGTCTTGTGCCTACTTTCAAGTAGTCCATTCTGCACCTCTCCATGAACTTTGTAACTTTAAGATGGCACCGATATACGATCCGCTTCTTACCAGTTCGTAAGCTGTACCCAACATGTCATTCAATAGAAAAATGAAGAATGGTCAGATGTTTCCTCTACAAAAAAAAATACAAATATTACTACTTTGGCCAGCGTTTGTGACTAAGTGGCTACTAAGAAAGACTATACATACCCTATTTTCAATACCCTGGGTTGTCTACTTTTTCAAATGGTATGCCATAATGGGGGTAATTCTCGTTACTAGCTGCCATACTCTCATAGGCAACATAACCAATCTGGCAAATTTCAATGTGCAAAACGGAAATGGGCAAGTCTTATATTTGACCCTGTAACTTTCCAAAACCCCATGAAACCTGTACACAGGGGTATTATTGCATTTGTGAGACATTACTGAACACAAATGTAAGTGTTTTAGAACCGTAAAATGTATAATGCTGATGACCTCATTTGTGAAAGGGCAGTTTTTTTTGTGACAAATGCAAAAAAAAAATATTAACACTAATTTTGGCCAGGGTTTGTGAGTAAGTGGCTACTAAAAAAGACCCTATATTTTTTTCCATTTGAATATTTTATTGTTTCATGAAAACAACCAAAAAGGGGGGCACAACAGTGCCATCTTAAGAGCATTATGGGCCCCCGGGCAAAGCTGTGCACTGGGGCCAGAGGCGCAACTAGAAACCGTGGAGTCCCAGTGCGCAAACTGCCCTGGGCCCACCCCATACGTCTACTCCTTGCCTCCCTCCATACGTCTACACTCCCCGTCCCATACCTTGCCCCTCACACATGCAGACAAGCAGATACACATGCAGACACACACACACACATATACAGACAAACATATATGCTCAGACACATACAGACATACACACATACAGAGAAACATTCATACAGACACACATATACAAAATGTTTTAGTCACCCTCCTGTTTCCTACCTTTTAGATGCAGGAGGGTGACTTCCCTGGGGTCCAGAGGTTGCTCAGGCTGATGGGAGTCAGATTTTCCACTCTGATTCCCACCTCTTCCTTCCTCCCAGCTCTGACCTTATCACAGGGGGCCTGGTCGCGCTGTTAAAGTGCTGCAGCGCTGACCAGGCCCCTTGGAAATTCATTTCCATCGGGTGTCCCTAAGAGCATGGGCCACCCAATGGCCCCATAACTATATCCCTCGTGCGCCATTTGCTGATGCAGTGGGAGCCACAATATGATGTCATTCCAGCTCCCGGGATCTGTAGGCTGCCTAGGAAGCGCGAGGGAGCAGAGCAGGAAGATCACAACTTCCTCGCACCTCTGACGCGAACACAGCCACCCACCTCATTGCCACCCCACTGGACCCCAACGACAGTTCCACGCCAGCTCTCCCAAAGGTAGGCAGGCTGGGTGGAAAATTTTAAATAATATTAATTTGTGAGTGTGTGTAAGAGAATGTGTATATGTGTGTGTCTGTGCCTGAGTGTGTGTGTGTTTGTGAGTGTCTGTCAAATTAGCAAGTCTGTTTGACATTGAGCTTTTGTGAGTCTATCAATGAACGACTGTCAGTGAGTGAGTGTGTGTGTCAAATACAGTGAGAGTTTGTGTGTTTGTCACTGTGTGTGTATCTACCAATGTGTGTATGTCAGTGAATGTGTATTTGAGAGTGTGCTCGTATCAGTGTGTGTATTGGCTAACAATGGTTAACAACATTGGAGACAATGACTGTCAGTGAGTGTATGTGTATCAGGGAGTGCATGTTTGTCATGTCTGTCAGTGAAAGTAGTTGTTGCTTAAACACTGTGAGTTGCAGCCGGCCCCAGTTATGGCATCCTAGTGCGCATTTCTTGGTTGGTCAGTCCAGCTCTCCACCTGCTGAAAATATACGTCTCCCTCCAAGCCAGGCAAGCGGCAGAGCTAAAAGAAGGAAAACATTTCTTGCTCGATATTGCGTGTCCTGGGCATTGGGAAATATACATTCTTATATCAATTGTCTTGCTTGGATGAGAACACTTTAGGGTGTGTAAGGTTAAATTTTTTTGTTTTGTTTAAACTGGTCAGCCCGTTTCTGTCAATCTATGTGTAAACTTTCCTTTGTTTTATATTTGAAAATGATGCTTGTAGTGTTCAGGCATGACTTTCTGTACTGGATCAGCTTCTCAATAGACTGCTATTTAAAAATAAAAAACAAAATAAACAGCATGCGTTTTCAACTGTCAACCTCCATTTTTTCATGTTTTATTTTTGTATATAGAAGGGGTGCTTGCACTTGTTCGTTGTGAATGAAGAACTTAAAAAACCACTCATATCAGTCCAATGGTCCATTGCAGGCTAATGAATAAGATCAACATTTCCCGTTCTTGACAATATTATCCTTTCTGATTGTGCTTTTTTTAGAACAAACATAAATGTTCTACACAGTGCTGCAAAACAGAATGGGACCCCGATGGAATATGCCTGCTGGTTCCAGTAGTTAACTTCCACAGCAATTTTTATTTATTTATTTATTATTATTTTTTCCTCTTTTAGTACTTTAGGCCACTTTTTAGACTCAAACACTCTTGCTCATAGAATTAACTAGCACGGCAGTGAGTTATCTATCAGAAAGATGCGTACAGTACTTGCATGTGGATCTGAACACTGCAAATATTCAATGTCTGCAAATTACAAAAAATGTTGTCAAGGCAATTGAGGTAGAGCCTAGACTTAAAGGAACACAAACATGTATTCCTGACACAATAGTGGTAAAATAAGTTTAGGTACCTGGCCTCCTCTCTTTACTGTAAAAAGGTGTTTTTACTCCCAATTTTTTTCAGCGCTGTGCTGGTCTTGACGCGACTTTCCTCACTCGGTCAAATTTGAAGATCTCAGCCAATCCAATGATTCCAATAGGAAAACATTGGGAGACTATTGCACATGCTTAGCAAAACGCAGTACTGCGCCAATTGGCTTCTCCTCATAGAGATCCATTAAATCAATGCATCTCTTTGGGGAGTGTTCATCAACGTTGAATGTCAGTGCTGCACACTGTGAAAGTGCTTCCCTGTCCAGTGTTGCACACTACCTCTAGAAGGTAGCACTTCTAGAGGGCGTTTGAGTGACTGCCACTAGAGGTGTTACTAGGCACCAATGTAAACACTGACTTTTCTCTGAAAAAGCAGTGTTAACATTAAAAACACAGCTGTAGGCACCAGAACAACTTTTTTTTAGTGGTTCTGGTGACTGTAGTGTCTCTTTAAAATGTGTTGAAATGTGAATATGAATTAGATTTGGCTGTGGGGAGAGGTTGACAGTAACCTTACCTATTTCCCTTGTGATTCTGCTCATGCATTAATCTGTTTCTGCAACGTAATACATGAAATGACATTTAAAAGATGTGTGCTAAACCTTTCTCTCTAAAGCACTACAAAACATGTTTAAATGCATTAGGGCTTTCAATTTTCAATTCATGACCATTGAACATCTGCTTATGTAAAAGGTACAGCTTTTGTCCACATTAAATAATGAGCATTCAGTGATGAGTGCAATAAATTAGGTCACCCTGTAGAGTTTTTAAGTTAGTGGTGTTGGAACCCCCTGCCCCCAACACA